GAAAGGGCTGAAAGGGAGGGGTTTAGAAGTAAAGTGAATTATTTGTGTTGGAAGGGACCTTAAAGCTCCTCCAGCTCCAACCCCTGCCACGGGCAGGGACCCCTTCCACTAGAGCAGCTTGCTCCAAGCCCCTGTGTCCAACCTGGCCTTGAACACTGCCAGGGATGGGGCAGCCACAGCTTCTCTGGGCACCCTGTGCCAGCGCCTCAGCACCCTCACAGGGAAGAGCTTCTGCCTAAGAGCTCAGCTCAGTCTCCCCTCTGGCAGGTTAAAGCCATTCCCCTTGGCCTGGCCCTACAGGCCCTTGTCCAAAGCCCTTCTCCAGGTTTCTTGTCAGCCCCTTTATATTGGAAGACTGCTCTGAGGTCTCCCCTGAGATCATGATGCTGATAATATTTATTTATAAGGAAGTCCCAACAACTGGTGAGTTTCTCCTAAGAAGCCACCCAGGGAGCCCCATTCCCTCTGTTGTTATTTCTGTGATGAACACTTTTAAACCAGGATGGTGAGGGGGTTTCAACCATTTTCAGGACTCACCCCAACATCTGGTAGGAGCATTCAGTATCTAACTGAGGTGGTTTAAGTCAGGTTTAAAATCTCATGTGCGGGGCCGTGGCACATGCTCTTCTGCAGTGCGATTTGTGCCAGTGTTTGCTGACAGATGGGGAGATTGTCTGGTTTCGTGTCACTGGAGGTTGTTTTTCTGTTCCTTCTTCCTATTTATAGCTGTAGGACAAGTATTTTTTTTCCTCAAGTAACTGGAAGTTATCCTACAAAATAATCTGAAAGTGCCTTATGTTAATTCCTCCTCAGACTTCCTGGAAAACAAGAAACTTTGCCAAAAAATGTGAAGGATTCTAAATATGTTTCTCTTCTGTGTTGGAGCAACCTCAAGACGTGTTAAAACGCTCCATGAAAAAGCATCTGAAAGAGGCAAAAAAAGGCAGTTGGTGCCTCGCACCCTCCTTCAGCCCTGGGTTAATGCGGGCTCCCTCTGTGCCGGCTGCCTTCCTGGGTGTCAGGGCAGGAGATTTGTGCCGTTCCAATCACATCTTGGGTTTCACTCGAGACAGAACGTGAAGCGAGATGTACAAGCAATATGCAATGTTTTACACATTTGGAGGCGCGGGCTCTGCGAGCCGCGGCAGATTGCATGGCCAGGGAATGCATTAGGAGGGAGGGATGGGATAAATAAATATGAAAAACCTTCTGTTTGGAGAGATCGATGCTTTGGGTAATCAGTAGTGATGGAAAGGAAGCACAATACCAGAAAACCCACCTATCCGTTTGCTGGCATCTGCTTTTCTGTCTGAAAATGACTGTGTGCAGAAGCAGCGTTTTCTTGTTATTATTTTTCAGCTTCCTGGGTTGTTATCAACTTAAAATGCAGCGTGGGGCAAGGTTTTAATCTGGGAAAGTTTAAACACATTCTGAGGTCACTTAATCAGCGCTTCATTTGAAGGGGAACTGCAAGACATAAAGGCAGCTCAGGAAGGACAGGGAGCTTTTGATTCAAACAAGGGAGAGAAAACAAGAGACAAACTGCTGGAGAAGTTGATTTATCATCTGCCACCAGTCGACCTTATCAATTAGGAGAAATTATAGGCATAGTTTGCTGAGTCATTTTTTTCTTTACCCCAGAACATGTAATGTTATCTTATAATGAATTTCATAAAATAGAGGTGATGAACACTCTGTCCTTATCTGGCCCCTTTGAAGCAAAGCTCATCAGTGGGGGGGGTTAGAATAGTTTCTGCCTGTGTTTTCATCACCTCTGCTGCTGCTTCTTCTTCACAAGGAAATTTCACCTTCGATGGTAAATGAGGAAAGATGTGTCTCAGAAGTGTCTTATTTGCCTTTCTCCTGGTTGCCTATCCTTTGTCTGGGATGATACGTAAAAATGTCTCTCCAGTTCACTGCTGGGGTAGGAGTAGGGCAGCCCCAGCCCCAGGAGTTCTGCAAGGCTAGCTGAGATGCCTGGACAGCCCTCAGAGTACTTTGCTTTAAAAGTGAGAGAGTTTTAGGGAGAGAAAGAGCCGTGTTCCATCAGTTTTATAGATGTTTCTGGTTCCCTCTGACTGCTTTCAGGCTCGTGGCGAGATGGAAACCTTGCTTTGCAAGCAAAAGCCATCCAGAAAAATCAAAGCACTTGAAATGCTCCCTCTGCCTTTTCCCAGAGTGAATTCTTCCCATTCCCTCTGCCCCACCCCTGCGAGTTCTCCCAGCAGGCTTATGTATGCGTGTTTGGGGGGGTGGAGGGATGGAGCTCAGAACCTGAGCCTCCAAAAGCGTTTGTGCAAATAGCTTCCATTTGGCTGATAGCCATATTTGAGAGGCAAGAAGCCCTCATTGACCTGCAGTTCCTTCTCAGCTTGATCAAGCTGTGTGTGTGCAGCATGATGGTGTTAGATGCCGTCGAGGACCGCTCCCCAGCAAACCAAGCCAGCCGCTGAGCACGCTGTCAGTGTTAACTTACTACAGTGATGCACCCCAGCAGCTCCTAGGAGCTCCCCCAGGCAGTGCAGTGTTGGAGGGCTGTGGGAAGTGGCTTCTGTTGCGCTGCGGGACTCCTGCCTGGGGTGAGTGTGACACAGAGAGTTAGAGGCTGTTAAAGAGTCAGACTCATCATTTGCTAATGCTCTAGGGCTTGGGTTTTTACAAATACACCCTTATAAAATACACAGAAAGCACTTGTGCATAAGAATGCATGCATATATATATAAAATAGAACTGTGAAATCCTAATGTACTAATTATATCCACAGGGAAAGACAAGGAGAAGCCATGAGCTGCAATAAACACACAGAAAAAGTCACTAATTTGTTAGAGAATTCAGCATTCTTTTTGTAGCAACAGCAGTTTCAGTATTGAACCTGCATGTCATAATCCCTTTTTCCTTCCCACATCTAGTACTGGTCATTCTTAATAACATTGTAGTCTCATCCGTGTGTGCACAAGTTACACAGGGCAGGTTAATTCCTTCTGTGCCTGACATAAATGGCATGGTGTTAACCCAAACCGTCTTTGATAACATTCTTTATGTGCTAGAAGTCAGAAAATAGTTTCTAAAAGTCATAAATGATGCTTTTACCAATATAAGCTTCTCTTTACAATAAAAATGTGTTTGGAGAGGAAGGGAATAATACCACAGGTTTGCATCAGTTTGTTTTTGCAAGGGTCTTATATTAATACATTTGTATGCATTGGGAAAAGCAGATCGTCCATAAAAAGACAATTACAGAGCACAAAGCAAGCATTCATATTATTTTTCCGAGATATCTTCAAGGAAGCAGCATACCTAAACCAGACGATTTTATTGTCCTGTTTTTCCACACCACCTTGTAAATCATTCCATAAAAGTAGCCATCCTGCTTTTATTGCTCTAAACTCCATTTGATTTGCTTTGGGGTTAACTTTTAAACTCTGTTATGCAGTCGCCTCCACTGCAAGCTTTTTTTGCCTCTCATGCAAATATCACTTGACCAGGGTTGATGTGTTTTCTGTTTGCAGTTATTCATGCATCTTTACTTTCCATCAGGAAAGATGTAGCAGACCAACAAACAGGCAAATGCTTGAAATGGGAATTTTTGAGTAATACTTGAAATAATATATTGGGTAGCATAACCAGTTTATCCCATAGTGTAGATGCTAAATCTGCCTGACACCCAAGTGGCAGTAATATCTCAGATACTTTTGGGTATAGATTTTGAATTCCAGGATCATCTGTGCATTTATTCTTCATAATTGTTCATACATTAATTCATCCTTTCATATACTGTACATAGATAATTGCTCATACATGTTCATACGCTGGGGCAGCACATGCTTCCAGGTAGCAGATAGCACCAGCAGGGAGGTGATGTCTGTGTCCTCTCAGGTTAAGGTCTGTGCTTTGGGAAGGGGTGCTGTCCTGCCTGTAAACTCTGTATTTCTCAGAGCTGCCTCTCAGTCTGCCTTGTAACATGTATAAAATCCAGCCCAATGAAAATGGGATAATAAAGTCCTTGGTTTTTCACAGGCAAAACTACTCTTCAACACTCACACTGTTGCACTGGGTTCACGCCGCCCTGATTCCAAGTTGAATTTTCCCGTATTTCTGCAGTGAAATACTGCAAAGTTTAGTTTAAAACGCTTCACACAGGGAGCTAATTAAAGAAAACCCATTCTTTAAGCACATGAACTGCTTCTAAAATGAATCCTTCTGGTTTCACATGGGAGTACAAGCATCCTGGAGCTGCAGAAGACTGAATGGTAACGGAGTTAACGAGAGAAGCCGCTTCATACGCCCATCAGTGCTGTGGTTCTGTTAACTATAATCTGAAATGAATTCCAGAGCAGGGCACTTGTACAACATATTCAAGTGCTAAAAACCGCTTTAATAACTCATATTCTTCCCATCTGTAACTAAAAATTGTAGTAATGCAAGAGCAGATCTAGGAAGATGAAGGGGATAAAGGAAGATACTTGTCAAGCAGTTGCAGATCAAACCAGGGTTCTCTGAGAAAATGCTCTTTGTCTGCTTCCTCGTCTCCTGCCTAGGATATTGTCTGAGATAAGTGACAGTTTCAGTTCTTTCTCATCACATCTCAAGGTTACAATGCATTTTCTAAGAACAGGCATAGATAAAGGAAACTTCAACCCACCCAGAAGTTAGCATTTTATGCATCTAAGGCTAAAGGGTAGATACTAAATTCCTCCATAAATTAAACAGCTGGAGATTGCCACCTTTTTTATGTGCAAAGAACACCTTGTTAGCAGCCAGCACAGAAGTTCATGTTCTCAGATGGGTTGTTTTGCCTTACTCTTAAATTGCCGTTCTCTTTCTCCCTGCATGTTGATTTATGAACTTTATAACTTGCTGTTCAAAACTCAAGCTGTGCTCCCAAGCCATGGTGCTATCAAAACCACTGAAGAGGTTTGGTGTGTCGTGTCCCTTCACGTGGTGGTTATGATGTTTTTCCTAAGTAATGAGGCACCTTTCCTGTCTTTCTTTCCATACAGGACTTTGGAGAAGACGATTCCCTCTACATCACCAAGGTAACAACTATTCACATGGGCAATTACACCTGTCATGCCTACGGCTATGAAGAGCTGTATCAGACCCACATCCTTCAGGTGAATGGTTAGTAAATGGCATGTATGACAATCCATGTAATGTTCCCGTAAGCGAAGGTGCGCGTTAACCTCATGCACACAGAGGCGTGAAGAGCTGCACTGTTGTGTGTGCACGAGCATGAACCTAGCTCGGGCTCTGCTCACTCCTGAAACCACACTGGCAATCAACAGGATAGGTACCAAGGGAGGAACGTGTATAATTACCTGGGCTTCAGTCCTAACAGTTTAACAAGCTGTCAATAGAGTCATAGAGCTAAGAGCAGCGTTTCAAAGCATCTCTTAGACTAATTACTACTTCTGCCAGCAGAAGGGTTGCTTCAGTAATTTCTTCTTCCAGAAAATCATTTCTGTTGCAGGAAGGAGCCCAGGATATTGAAATAAATACTGCACAGTGTTTCCAAAATGAGCTAACTCTCAGCTCTGTATCAGATTATTACCTGGTTGTAGTCTGCTTGGTTCACTAAGAGCTGTGTACACTGGCTAAGGATATATTCCACAGGGTTGCAAAATGAGGGCAGACCCTTTGCAGGTGAGAGAATCACACAGGCCATATTCCAGCTTTCTGGTTCCCCTCCATTCCCTGGACCACATTTGTACTTGGTAGAACTTATATTCAGGCATTCCCTATCTTTCTTCTGGCCTCAAACTCAGACCATTGGATTTAGTTCAATATTACATTAGCTTCAGCCAGCATTTCATTGAGGGACCAGCCAGTGCAATATCCACCTCTCCAGCAGCAAAATCATGTCCAACTTTAAACCTGGGTTTATATGTGCTAATATGACCAGCAGTATCTGCAGAATAGGAGACAGTGTAACCTGTTGTTCACCATGGGTAGATTTTGATGTACTCTGCTTTGAAAGTATTTAGTTTACAAGGAAATCCAGTAACTTTATCCCAGAGGATATATTCTAAAGGAAATTTAATATTTAGTTCTTTCTCTAGATGTCCACGATCATCTGCAAAGGAGAGCTTACAGTTGGGAAGTGCAGATAGCTACACACAGGTTAATAGAGAGAAGCTGACAGTAAAAGGATGTTTATGCACTGTAAGAAGTGCTATAGTGGACGTGGGGTTTAGGTTTGGCTGCAGCTCAGCTCTTCGGGACGTGTGTAAATGCTCCCCACTCCCAGGGAGTACCTGGAGGAGAGCATGAAGCATCCGGTTGATTTGAGTGAAAACTGACTTAATGTTTCTACAGAATAACTTGTCATCTTTCGAGACAGTAAAGTGTAAATTCTCAGCAACGTGGATAACTAGATTGTGCGTGCTGCAGCTGGGAAAATGGGTTTCCTTCCTCAGAGTGCTCTTTGTTTGATGAATGGCAGTTGAAAGAAAAGCAAGCTAACAAGTTAATCCTGTGTATATTATGTGATATGTTATGAGCTCTGAATGGAGTTTAGTTGGCAGACAACAATGTAGACTTTATCATCACTGAGAATATAAGGCCCAAAGGCTTTGGAACTAAAGCCAGAATGAGAGGAAAGCTAGATGGAGTGTGGGGAGGGGTTGCTTCCTTTCATCTTTATGCCTGCCACTTAGCTTTAACTTGTTGAAAGATCCTGTTTTGCTTTTAAACAGAAGTTACAGGCTGCAGCTGCATGTGGTTTTCTTACTAATAGAACAAAAAAAATCCCCACTTTCCATGTTGACTTTTTTAATGTTGCTATGTAGTCAATAAATACTGCAACAAAATGCCATGCATTCTGCTATCAGCTCTAGGCAATGCTAGGGGACACTGCAGGATCTAGAAATCTTTGTCCTACAGCATCTGATATTCCCATGTGAGCCATTAGACGTTGCAAAGCTGTGTTCTGCATTTCTTGATGTGACTGGCTGCCCATATCCTTGTATTCTCTCCTTTTCTGCCTCTGTCGTGGCTTCCTCCAATAGCTGCTGCTGGGACAACAGGTCCGATGGCAGGACAGTGTTGTGTACCTTCAGCTGCATTGTGGGGTTGGAGCTGGATGAGCTTTAAGGTCTCTTCCAACCCAGCCTGTTCCATGTTTCTATGAGATTCGCTTCATCACAGTAAATTCTGTGGCAAGACAGGCATATCCTTGTGCTCTGCAGGGAAACAGTGTCCTTATGGATGCTTGCTGCTGTACCTGTGCCACACAACCCTGGCAGTTCTTCCCTTTGTAGTAGCTGGTTCAGGATATCACAAGTAACCCAGGCAGATCCAGATGCTCAGGCAAAGATGAGAATCCTGTTAGGCAGAAAAGGTGAAGACCACCAGATGAATGTCCCAAACCCCTGGCTCACATCTGGGCAAGGAGCATAAAGCACATGTGTGAAATGCAGCCTGCATGGGACATTTGATATGGCACGTTTGGGATGATCTCATCTATCTTAAGAGTCACAGCAGTGGTAAAATTCAGGTCAGTGTATTTGCACAGCTGGACCTCAATGTCTTTGAAAGGAAAGAATGCCCTGAAAGGCAGCACAAAGTTTAGGAATGAGAAATACATCTTTCATGCTGGTATCTTTGATCAGGAGAAGCCAAGAACAGTGGGAAGATTATGTTCTCTCCTACGCATGGATATTGCTGTATTGCTTGGGAAATGTGTTCAGCATACACTAAGTGTAGGGAGGAAAAGCAATTTATCACTTTCAAGAGAAAAAAAGAGTTGCTGAGGATAAAGAATCTCATAAAATTGTAATCAACTATGAAAATTGATAGTTTGCAAATCAAGAGGCTGCTGAGTGTGGGGCATCATTTCCCTTTGTCCTTGCACTCTGGAAAACAGCCGCATAAATCAGAATGTTGTATTCTTTGAAAAGGGGTTTAAAAAGCCATTGGATCCTCAGCACAATTGTAAGGGTCCAGTAGGACACATTACTGCAGTAGCAGAGAGATGTTTTAAACAAGGATGTTTTGTTAATGTGACTTTTCAAGAGAAAACATATAACGCTGCAAAGTCCTTTCAAATCATAAATGGAAAGATTAAAACATCTCAAGTAAATGATTAATCTATCAATTATTACTAGGCCCTGGAGTATATAGGTCCTACAGCAGCAATGTACGTCTTTGGGCCTTGGTATTGCCATCTGTGCTCATCGTGTGCTTTATCACCTGAGCTGTTTTATTGTAATGAATTGGTCTGCTCACAAGGTACTACTCAGTATGCAGTAGTAGGCAATCTACCCAATCTCATGCTTGTTTGAATGCCTCTTTTTTTCCCACTTTGCTTAAGATAATAGCATTTTTATACTGCCCTTGGCTGCAGGCACAGTAATGCTTAGCAATGATATATATTCACCAAGGGAAATAGCAAAGGATAATCCATATATTCCAAAGTCTGGAGCTGAAATTTTTGCAAGTTTAAAGCAAAATGTGCTTACTTGGAACGTGTTAATTTGTTTCAAGGACAATAAAAATGCATGCTGCAGTTTGCTGTTATCACAAGGCAGGTTCCACGCAATAATTTGCCTGTGCAATGAATTATGTCAGACAAGGGAAAAGAAATAAAATGTTTAAAAATGGAAGGAGCAGGAAAATGGTAAGGGCAGGAATGGGGAAGCAACACATACTTCTGTAGGTGAAAACAAACACTTCCCTCATTAATCACTGGGAAAAACACCTTGCTATAATTTCAAGTTAACCTAATTCTCATGCAGAACATTGATGCAGTCCCTAGGACCCCTGAGCTGCCTTCTGTGCTAGAAGTCTATTGTGTTTTCAGCTCTGCAGGTAAAAGATGAGGATTTCTCACATGCAGGCTAACGTGGTGTGAGGCAAAAAAACCTTTAGGAAAGCCTAAAGCAAACTTATAAGAAAGTTATCAACCCACACTGGTTTTGAGAGCATTAAATGGGTGGTGTCTGAAATGGGATTTATCTCCTTCAAGAGCTGGTTGGTGAGGAAATTGCTTTGGTGCCTTTGGCCATTTGGGGTATATTAGGGAAGGGTGTGAAGTTGGCTGGGGGATCTCCTTCTTGCCTTGAGCTGGGCAGGCACAGGCAGGCAGCTGTATCTAGATGAGCATTAAGGTTCCTCCCAACCCAAACCATTCTATCCTGGCAGGAGCAGAGCTCTGCACATGGCACAGGACCCCATGGGCTTTGTTCCAAGCTGGTTTTCATGCAAGTAGCTGCAAGCTTGGGCACCCAAGTCTGTCTGCAAGAGGCTAGGGCAGGCAAACCTGCAGACAGAGAGGGCCAGGATTGCTTGGGGACTGGAAAAGGCAGGTTGTGCCATCTGGAGAATAGGGAAAGTCCCTGGGGACATTAAGTGCTGTCAGTTGACTTCAGGATTTGGGCATCTGGCCTCCTTGGGTGATGTGTTTTTCCTATGCATTTGTAGGAGACAAAATGCCTCTCATCCGTGAGTCGGAATAAATCAGATAGCCTTTCAGAGCACCTCAATTCCTAAATCATTTCGTTCTAAAAATGTTACTAGTAGCAAGCAAATCATAGGCGAGACAAGCACTGAGTGCAGGACCTTCATAAAACCCTGTCAAAGTGGCCAGAAATTACTATCTTTATCCTGTCTCGCCTGGAGACACTGACTCGGAGAGATTCCAATTAATTTTCCGAGGTGCAGATGGAATGAGAAGCTCCTGACTCATGGCATTATTGCCCTGAATTGCTTGGGCACAGTCTCTTCAATAAACCCAGGGGTGGCTCTGACAGCTGCCAGCCATTTCCAGCATCACATCGCTTCCTTTGCTCACCTTCCACTTGATCCGGCACCTCCTGAAGTCAGGAGGAGCCGCAACCCTGACAGTAATGGGAGGAGGAGAAGATGAAAAGCCAGTAAATACTCTTATTTGGAATTTGAAATCTCAGTTTAATAAAGCAAGCTTATATTTTTGGTAACCTCCTGATTAAAAAAGATCTTGGGTGGGTTTACTCGCTGCTCTGTGTCTTATAACACATTTTCTCTTCTTCTCCAGTGAAGGAAATATGAGTCAAGGAAGTAAACCCACACATCTAGTGCAGAGGTGAAGTTTAAAGCCACTCCTTTGCTAAAAGTCCCCTTTTTTTGCCCAGAGGCATTTCCTTTCAGATTACACCTGAGCAATCTCTCACTGTTAAAGCTATAAAACCCAAGTAGACTTGAGGGCTTTCTGTCGTGGCTGATTTCCTTCCAAGCTGACGACTCAGCTCTGGTTAGTACTTGGCAGCTGGCAGGTAAGACAGAAGTAAAATATCTCTCTCTGGTAAGGCCCATAAAAAATAGATGGAAAGTGTATGCTAGTGAATGTAATTATTTAAACTATGCCCATATGGGTATATAGACACATAGCAAGCTGCAAACACAGATTTCATTTTATTCTGAAGCAACTGTTAAGACAATTTAATTTTGCCAGGCCTGGAGCTTGATGATGGACTATATAAAAAGACAGCACCGTGTTAGGTACCTTGAGCCAGTGATCTCCAATTGAAGTTTGTTATTAACTCATTCAGGTGATCTTAAAGAAACCCCACGATTTTTCCTTAATTCTCCATTAGTTCCTGCAGAGGTTGTTCATTTTCCTTGAGGAAGAAGTCAGGCTCCCACATATCACATCCGCATTTGACTCTGACAGTGGTTTTACACAGCTGTACATCATTCAACAGTTACATCCAAGTCCCAAAATCTCTTAATATAATGTTGACCGCTTGGTTATGAAACAGAGCAGTCCATGGCCACCCTTGAAATACCATCAGCCAAATACAGCACATCCTCATGTTTCCTTTTATTAAATCCCTCGAGGTGAAAGGAAGGAGGATTCCACTTGTATTTTTTACTGATATTGCAATATTGCAATTTCTCCTCAAAAGCAGGCGAGTGAATTGTGAAGAAAGAGTCAATGGGCGATGTGAAGCCTTGTTGATTTGAGCAATGAAGGCAACGTGATTGAAAATCAATGAACTTGTCTCAAATTGTAATATAATTAGTAGTTCTGCCAGCCGAGTATATTAAATAGTTCAGAGGGGCCTTCCTGAAACAAGATGAGTCACGCTTTGAAAGCCTCTCAGGAAAAAGGGAAGTAGTTTATTTGTTCAGAATAGCAGGTAGCGAATATACAGGCTATTTCCTGATGGGTTATTTGATTAAAATGGTGAATAATGCGCTACTTCTAATAGGCAAGAAGTCCAGTTTCTTCTTTACTAGATTCAGTGAAGGCTGGAAATTTATACTTTGATTTTTAAATACATGAGTACTCGCCCTAGGTTTTCATCCAACTTCACTTAATTTTCCTTAGTCCCTTAGTGAAAGAAAGGAAGACAAAGCAAGAACAGTCTAAATACAAAACTCGATATCAGGGTTGCTCCCTGGCATTGGTTTATTGTTTCCTATTTTCTGCCCCCAAAGTTGAGCTATAGAAGAATCCTTTCTGTACCCAAATGTTGCTTGTCTCCTGGTGCTTGGATCAGACCTTTTCCTCTCTCGAGCCAGACAGGGAACGGCACTGGAAGGTGAGTTTAAATTGTCCAATTCCTTGTTTCCCACAGTGCCACCAGTGATTCGCGTGTACCCGGAAACGCAGGCGCAGGAGCCCGGCGTGTCGGCGAGCCTCAGATGTCACGCCGAAGGCATCCCTAATCCCCGAATTACCTGGCTAAAGAACGGCATTGATATCATGCCAAAACTATCCAAACAACTAATGCTTCTAGGTAAGAACGGAGTTCTGATTAATTAAAGTATTGTAGACGGGGATTAAGGAGGATTATTTTGCACTTTAAACCAGAAGTTCCTGCACCTTCCCTAAGCCGCAGTTGTTGGAAATTGTGTTACAAAACCCCTGTTCTTCCTTTTTATCTTCTTCTCCTGTGAATTTCTCAGGAAACACAGTATTGATTGATCGGAGTGGTAACAGTGTTCTGTTAACCGGACACGTGCTTGGTTCTCCACTGCCTCGCCTCTTGTGCAGAGCTGTGCAAAGCAGAGGAGGAATGCATTAAATTCTTTATTTGGGTTTATTTGCATTAGAAGCAAGTTAGCTCAAATTAGGCTGTGGTTCACGCCCACCTCTGCAGAGGGAATTGGGCTCTGGACTCCTATAGGTCCTTGTTCAAACAAGGCTGCAACAGATACAGCAAAAGGCAAAAATACTTACTCTGTATAAGCATATTGAAAGCCTCCTCACATCCCCCTCAGTCTGGCTATGGTGTGTTGCAGCCCTCAGCCAGTGTTGCCAACACAGATCTCCCTGCATGGCTGGGTGCAATGTCTTAGAATAAGGTCTTAGGCAATGGTCCCACTCCAGAAAGCAAAATGATAGGAGTGGAGAAACCCCTCCCAGACCCAAGTGTTTGGTGATCTGATGAAAAGCAGTTTACAAAACTCAATTTAATTTTTCTCCCCTAAAGCCAAAGCATTTCTTTCTTTTTTAACAAGAAGAAATAAATGAAATGCAATTTATCCTTTGCACTTGGGATTCTTCTTTGTTTGTTCCTGGCACAGAGCGTGTATGTGCTAATGGAGAGAAGCAAAACATCAACTGTGATGAGAATCCCCAAAATACCTCTAGTTATGTACAGGGAAACATGTGGTGAAGCCACCCTGTTGTTGCCAGGCGATGGAAGGCAATTAAGAGCAGGAAAAGCAATTAGCAGCAGTGAGGAACAGGGTTTATGGGTGTCTTTCTTACAGCAAACGGGAGTGAACTTCATATCAGTAGCGTGCGATATGAAGACACTGGTGCCTACACCTGCATTGCTAAAAACGAGGTGGGAGTGGACGAGGACATATCATCACTTTTCATAGAGGATTCGGCAAGAAAGACCCGTAAGCTTCACTTTCCATGGATTTATTTCTTTAAAGAGTAGTTAAATGTAATGGTATACATGCAATGTAATGCTTCAGTCTACTGCATGCGGTGTGTTGGACTCGTAAGGTAGTGGCAGGTTTGTCTGTGCTTTGATGAGATGATTGTATACCGGTTTGGGAAGCAATCCACAGGGAAGGTAAAATCTCCTCACCCGGGTTTATGGTGCCTTTTATGTGCCAAAAATGTATGGATATGGTACAGGTAACGTCTTTAATAAAGTAACAGATTTGCACTAGTTTTAGATATCAGAGAATCCCAAACCTAGTATTATGTCAAATTATATGTGGTTTCAGAAAATGAACTTCTTTGATTTCTGCTGTTAAAGCCAATTACGAGGTGAAGTTCTCAGATATTTAGATGCTTGGGAAATGTTCTGTTTGAATTATTGATTTTCCCTGCATTTACGTCACTAACCAACAAAACAGGCTTCCCTCGGTGTGAAATTATATTCCACTTCCAAGACAAATATTCCCCCAGCCGCTCTGAGCTGCGTGTGTCCCGTAGGAGTGTGGCAATGTTATCTTGACCGCACTGTCCCCGCAACACAATTAATGGAGGAGGTGATCAGTTGCCTCAGTGGAAAAGCTCCCAGTGGCCTGTTTCTTTCTAATTCTGCTCTCTTAACTACTTGGGAGATTGCTTGGGTTTATGGGGATACTAAAAGGTTAGGTGCAAATGGGATTTTTGCTACTTTTCTGGCTGTTAATGTAGAGCAAGAATTGAAAACGAAGTTAGCCATAAATATGTGCTCTCATGGCGAGTCTTTGGAAAATATATTCTATTCCTCATTAAATAGATTTATGTACTCTTGTTAATATTGCTCGTTTTCCCTTGAATACTTGAGCAAGGGAAATTGCAGTATGGCGAGAAATAATTGGATCTATCTAAAACAGAAATTCAAATGCAGGTGTACTTTCAAAAAGTATTTGAATCCTAAAACAGAACGTAGTTGCATGAAATTCCACAAAGAAAGGCAGCACAGTGTGTAGCTGCCTTAACTGCCAGTCTCAGGCTTCTGAAAGGTGTGATGTTTCCTGATTGAACCTGTACAGAAAACATACATGTACATTACGTTTGAAGGTAACGCCTTCTCTTTAGTAAGATCTATGTACAGGCTTCATTTGAGGTAGGATTTTGCCTATGTCAAAGGTTCAAAGTTGTCTCTGGAAGGAGCAAATGTATTTAGAACTCTCTCTCTTTCCTGGTATTATTTGAATGAATGTTACAAAGGGTTCACAAATGAAACAGTTCCTGTAAACATGAGTGTTAATTCAGTTTCTTGCTACAATGACAATTTTGACATTGTTTTGTTTTTTTTTCTGTTCCTGATTATTTTCTGGCTTCCCCAATTTTCTGATGCTGCAGTTGCAAACATACTGTGGCGAGAGGAAGGTACTGCAGTAAAGTTCTTTTGTCGTAGTGATAATGTGCTTGTCTGCTTTAATAATTCCATGATGGGCCATTCTCCACTGACTTGCTGCTAACTCTATCAGCTTTCACAGTTACCAGATTAAGTAGAGACCAGACATTTAAAAGCTAAACTATTCTGAGAAGAGCTATCGCTCTCGTAATATAAATCGTGCCTTCTGATACTTTCCCACTAAGAAATAATAGATGACCATAAAATATGTAAAAATGGAAATTTTATATAAAGTGCCCCAAGTGTGAGTAGCCTGAAGATTCTCAAGCTGCATTAACAATTGCACGAGTGTCAGAAGTGCTCCCGAATTACCATAATTGAACAAGTAGGACATAAATCCAATAGACTGCGTTCTAAGCAAGCAATTCAAGCTCTTCCTCCTCAGTAGCGTGTAGTGATGTTTACTAAGCAACAAAAATTGTGTTCTTGACTGTTAGGCAGACAAAAAAAAGCCACCCCACAACAGGTTTTGCTTCCTTCTGTCCTTTAAATCAATGCAGAGTAAAGGTTGCCCCACTTCTCCTTGTTTTAATTGGCAATTAAGATCTCTAGTTTGATCAGATGTACGGTGTGCCCTGCGCAAGGTCAACATCTGTGTGTCTTGGAAGCCAAATTAGAAAATCAGACACCCTCCTAACCAGCTAATTGACTCAGAGATACTATGGAGGCACTTGAAATGAAAATGTGTTTGATTTTGTGCATCATAATGTCCAAAACGCACAGTAAGGTGCATTGTGCAGAGGCCCAAGGAGCTCTCAAGCGCCTCTGTAAGTGCCTCGATGGGGAGCGCAGCCTCTGGCTCCTCGAGGCTGTGTGTTCCTCACCAGAGGAAGGTTCTTGGGTTGAAGTCCAAGCATAAGCCAGTTCTTTCATCCGCCAGTTGCATATGAGGAAGTTGGGAGCTTGGTGTCCTTCCAGCTTTGTGGGGAACCCCTGTGCACTTACAAACTGCTCTTGACCGTGTCCCCTTGCCTCCTGCAAACACCTCTCCCTCCTGGTGGTCCTCCAAGAAGGGCTCCCCACTCACTGTGCCTTTGGAAGGTGCAAAGACCCTTTCATATGTAGTGCCTCCAGGTACCCCAAAATGACAGCTGGGCTTCATGCCTTTGGCTTGGAGCTTTCTGGATTGCTGTGGCTTGGCCCAAAGGATTGTAGGGGCAGAAGAGAAGTGCCAGCCCTTAGTGACCGGTGCAACCTCGGCCAGGTATGCAAACACCCCATGCATACCTGCTGTCCCACTGCCTGCTGCAGACACATTCCTGCAGTAGATGCAGCAGGCTGGAGGTCATGAGATGTGGCACAACAGCCTAAGATAGCTCTCCAGCACTTATTCCCAAATATGCCACCTACAGGTGGCTGGTGCACGGCACTGAAGTGTATCTCTTCACTGCTGATGTTCCTGTAAATGGCATTATAGGCACTAAGAATTGCTATTTCCCTTCTGCTTGGAGTGAAATCTCTAGTGCATCTAATCAGTCCAGCCTCATCTGCAGGATGCTACATGGCTGTTTATATACTGCATCCCTTATGCTCCTTTATAAAGGAGTTGGATAACCCTACCAGATGTAGTAGTAATATTTAAAGAACCAACTAAGAAGTTGGTTGCAGAAATTTTTACTATAATTCTGCTAAACAATATGAACTTGCTGCTTATCAACATTGCAAATTCAAGTATGAGCAATGTACAGGGAAGATGTGAGCAGTAAAAGCAGATTTACTATTGATGTTCCTAAGCAATTCAGTATCTTTAGAGCAGGTTTATTCCCCTGTGTTGTTCTATAGTAGTTGATCAGCACGTTCATTGTAGACAAAGAATCCATCAAATGTCCTTTAGCATGTGAAATCTTGGCACAGAAAAAGCTCAAAGAGAGGAATGGTATTTTTGGCTTTACATTTTAATGTATTCTTTTAATTCCATTAAAATAAAAACTTATCTGTGAGTAGCAGTATTAACAAATGGATTGGTAGACTTGAGCTCCCTTAAAATGATCACACCCTAGTGCCCACAAGGTCTGTAGTAACTAAAGCTATCGGGGAAATACCTAGGCAGAATATTGTGTAAGACAAGCTGTTGCTGCAAGTCAAAGTAACAAGTAAATTAACACAAGTGATTAACAAAATTCAGTCTATCAGTCTGTCCTCAAAAGCCTTCACAGATCACGTACAGGTTAGACCTCAAAACATGAGTGCACATAGCATGACCAGCCGGTTAAACATGGAACTGGAAGCACGTGCAATATTTACTCAATGTACAAACCAGACTTGAATTTTGCACAGATAAAGCTACAAGTAGCCCAAATGTGAGGCAGAGATTTATTTCATGTCAGTGTTCATGTCTGCAGCGAGTGTTGCTTGCTTTATACCTGGGTAAAGGGAGCATACTGAGCCAGCAGGCAATCATCAGTATAGGAATGTATGTACTTTAAAAGCCGGAAGCCTTTTTGTAACTAATAAGTTCTAAAATGCTTCCAAGCATTCAGGTTAAATTGAGGCAAATTATTCAAAGTTGAAATCAGAGGAAATTACTCCACAGTGACAAATTTGCCCTTTGATCTCCAAGTAGGGAAATACAAAAGTACACTCAGTTGGAGACTGTGTTCAGCTCTGGTTGTCATCAGGTGTCCTCCTGAAGTGCTTGAAATAAAGATGTTAGAATCAACTTCATCTAGAATGGTTCAAATAAGAATTGTTATGGTTAGGAAACCGTCCCTGTTCTTAAAGGGGGTTTCGTTACGTGATGGTTTTTGCTACACAGATGAAGTATGCTGCCTTTTATAAAGCCATTAGTTTTGGAGCTAGTTGTGTCATCCAAACTGAAATGTTTTCAATTAAAAAGGGAAAGAAAAACGTTTCTCATCACTCCCCCAGTTTCCAATCTGGTACCTGCCTCACTACTATAAATAACACAGCTCTGCGAAATTCCCCATTGCCCACTTCTGCACTGAAATAATTCCCCAGACCCAGGAGCTGCAGCAGTAGAACCAAGAGCACAGTCTGTTTTACCGATGTCCATGAGATTGTTTAGAGATGTACCCCAACCAGGACTCGGCGAATAATTCATAAGTCACAATAAAACATGTGGTTTGGCTGATGAGAAAACTGCCTTGTCTAAAAATCAGTGTGAGGATTACTCTCTAAAAAAAGCATTTGGTAAGCTCTTTTTAAAAGAGAGTACTGGATGCTGTTTGGATCATATTTTAAGCCAGTCAGTATTAAAACTTGCACTCATTTGACTGTAAAATAAAGTGTGGGACTTACCAAGTCACTAACTCGAAACGTAATGGGGTAAAATAATTATCAAAGTACTTCTGTGACTAATTGTAGCCTTAGTTCTGAAACACACCCTCATTGTTACAGGCTCATCAGATGAAATCACGCTACTATCGTGCATGAAAATAATAACGAGCATCTTCACAACAGTCATAATTCGTTGCCTGCCTGTTTCCACTTTCTAGGATTAAAATCCTTTACTCATGGCAATATGTGCACTCATTCCAGCCAGGGTCAAACTCTGCCCTCTGATATGTTCACTCAAGTCCCACTGAAGGAGGTGGGAGTTGTGTGCATGCTGTGAGCGCAGATTTTGGTCCAAAGTGCCCGAATGAAATGTTTTAACAACATACCTGGGAGAAGTGAGCCCTTAGTCCATAAAGATAACTTGGTTTTGATGGAAGTTCAGTACCTCTTTTCCTACATGCATGATCCCTCACTGTGGCATCACATTTAAGGATCGTGGCTCCTGTACCCGCCTGATGCCCTAACTGGGGTATTTCTGTGGTATGGTTTAGGGAGACTCAGCTTGAACATTGTCAGTACAGCAAACACCACGTGCTGAGGCTTTGTGCTCTGAAGCCCCTTACTTGGCACAAAAAGAGGGGGTTTTAGCACCGAATAAAACTTCTTCTGGCCTTTCTAAATACTATGGAATTGATTAAAATTTCCCCAAAATGCATTTGTCCAAATTATACATGTTGTTATAGTGGAGGTTTGGTGATGATTGAGACCTCGGTCCTGCAAACACTTAAGAGGTGGGGGAAACTGTAGATGTGAGCAGTGTCTGGAGCTGCCATCACTGGAGCAGCCAAGGGAATTGTAAGGCTGAATGCTGTTCAGGCCTGTAGAACCAGGACCTTATTTCTCCATGGGTAAAATGTAATTAATTAGAAATTACAAATTCTCACATCACTGTATCATTAGCAGATAAGTACACTATCAATGTTACAGGGGTGACAGTGGTCATGGCAAACACTTAGTGGTGGTGGTGGAAAAGATGAAATGACTCCTGGATCTTTCTAACTAGACTGCTTGAAAAGATCCTGACCATTTCTTAAAGGTGCTCATTGCTGCAATTGCATGTAGCTGGAGAACAACCAAATTATTGGTGTTTTAAGGCATTTCTGCACGGCAGAAATGATGAAATACAACCTCCTCACAGCAAAGCAATGACAGGCAGCCAGTTTTCCAAATCTCCTGGAATGCCCCAGTTGGATAAATGAGTGCTGTTGCGATGCTGAACTACTCCACATTTGTGAATTACAGTTTGCAAGACTTCAAAAATGTGTTTGTTTTGGTGGCTGTAGTTAGGCTCATGCAGGTAGCTCCAGAACACGGGGAAATAGAGATCTTTTTGGATACAGAGCACTTCCATTTTACATCACAGTCAAGTTACCTGTAACAGGATAACCTTCAGGTTAGTTTTAGCTGAAGCTTCTCCTGCAGTTCTCAAATTATTAGCAAGCTGGTTTTAGTGAAATCATAGAAAAACCATAGTCATAACCTGAGGGAGTGACCGATGCAATGCAGGGGCTTCTTGTTATCAAATCTGGCTTTGGTATATACGCACAAGACCTGGACAGAGTTATTTGTGTACAAGCACCGCCACCAAGGCAAGGCATTTTTGAACGTGTCTGTACCTCTTCACTTCTTGAAGCCCTTGTTGTGACATGAAGTTTGATTTTGTGAATGCACTGACTGCATCCAACCAACCAACCTTTATGTGAGGCAGATTCTGCTTGTTGGGGGAGGAGGGAGGCTTCTTAAATAAGTCCTAACAGCTATGGATACATACCAAAAACATTCCCGCTTCTTTTCCTTTATCCCCCTTCAAGGCCTGAGTGTTGGGAATATGTTCTATGTCTTTTCTGATGATGGGATCACAGTCCTTCAGCCAAACGAATGTGAAATCCGGAGACACATCAGGCCCGAAGAGAGGATTTTCACAAGTTATGTAAGTCCTAAACCCAGCAGCTGCAGCTGCCAGCTCTTAATCTCTTCAAAGGTTGTTGTTGCTGAAGGACACAGTGATGTTAGAGCTTGGTGGGCTTCGTGTGGCATCCCTGAGGTGCATCATCTCCTCCTCTTGAAAATTAAGGGAACCACATAAGTTATAAGACTGACATGGAGGATTACTGACACACTGCAGAGAATTTGCCTGGTTACCATGTCAAAATGTAGGCAAAGGCTTTCACTTGGCCTGTTTGCGTATCCATGCCCAAAAGTGGTAACTGGGCTGTTAGAGAAAGTACCAAAGTCAGCAGCAGCAAGATGCACGCATCACTCACCGTCCCCTTTTACTGATAGGCAAAGGAGTTGGCCACTTTCTGCTCTTTAGAAGTAGTTTCCCAGATTAAACCGCAGCAGGGAGGTGGGTCAGGATGCGCAGAAGATGTTTGTGTCGTGCTGGCCCTCTGCATCTACCGCCGCTGAGCTGCAGACCTGTGTCATCCTTGTTTGCTGCCCAGCATTTCCTGCCAGCACCGGGTTCACCCACCCCTGCTGTAGGAAATCACAAGGAGAACGTGTTCAGGTGTCAGTGAGTGTCAAGCACAGCCTTGTGCACGGTGGAGCTCAACATGACAAGGGGGATAACATGTGCCTGGGGTGCTGGGCGGGCAGTGTTCTTAGTGACCTCTGTTATGTACCCCTGTGTGGTAACATACACCATGTGTACGCTCATGGATCTGTGAATTCTTATAAAACACAGGGGCAGAAATACATCCAGAAACGCTTTTTCAGTCACTCCTTTATTTAGTGGGCGTTTCTAAAAGGAGAAGCTGAGAATGTGGCTACCTCCTGAAGAAAAGAACTCGGCCTTGCTGTTTGTTTTGTGAGGGATGAAAGGGGACAGTCACTATCATGAGCCCCAAAGGCTGGGCTGGGCTCTGGTGCCATGGATCAGGATCTTCTCCTGAGTCTGCATTCAGTACTTTATAGATACCCATAAAGTTGTGGTTGATACTGTTGGGGGTTTCCCCACTGGATTTTCATGTACCTTAGCAGAAATCCAGACTGATGCTTACCCCAGGACTGGGTTAGTATCATGGAGCCGCGCTTGAGCTGTTGCTACACAGAGACAGAAATCTTGTGTTTCTTTTTTCCCCAAGAGCTGTAAATATCGAAGAGGTGGTTCTGGAGAAACAGCCTGAAGAGAACAAAGGAGAAAGGGCACTTAAGGAAATAATGCCAGCACAGTGGTGGGCAGGAAAGGGATTTTTAATGTCATTACTTGGCTGCCTTTCAGAGAGACATCTAAGGGTTTCCTACCGGTATCATAGGGCCCTTTCCCTTGATATAGGGAGGACTGGCCTTTTCTCTTCCCTCCTTTTTCCCTTTTAGTGTCTTGAGTGTTTGTTACATAGACACTGACACCAGCCTGCAGCCTCAGGAGGTTTCTTCATTTGCTGTTAGAGGGCACAAAAGCAGATAGAGCAGCTGAGCACTGTAGCAGAAAGTGGTGCCATTTCCCTGCTCCCCTTGCTCTGGGTGGATGGCGTGTTGTGAGAGCCTAAGCCCCAGTGCAGAGCCGAGGATGAGGAGGGCAGTTTGGAGGCTGTTGGGTGCTTGGCTCTGTGTGTGGCTGCTGGAAGCTCAGGGCTGGGCTTTTGTAGCATCTTTTCACCTGCAGTGGCGCAGGAAAGGAAGATGCAGCCAAGCTGTTGAGTCTTGTATCTTCAACCAGTCTCCACCAAGGTAAACCAACAGAGCTGTGCTGCTTAGGGGTGAAATCCTCATCCATAACCATCACTCTGATACAGATGTGGTGTTGGCATTGTTTTCCCCTTTCCCTGAACAGGCTGTGCTGCTCTAACTGCCTCCCCTTTAGGGAGGTTGTGCCGTTATTCAAAGTGACCCAGCTGTTGTATTGACAGGTTTTAAACCCAGCACTTTTGCTCACTGAAGTGTAGATGTGTTCATTTTGTTTTACCCTTGTTCCTACACCACAGCCCGCTCCCACACAAAAGCTCTTTCCCATAAAGCAGCTCAACAGAAGGGAGAGCAACAAAGAGTAGCCAACACGCAGTTTGTTGGTGAGATTATGTGTGACTCTTCCAACTCAGGGTACCAGTGAGCTCCTGCTAAAGCTAATACCAGTTTTGTTCAGGACTCAGTGAGTATCAGAGTCAAAATAATGGCATCAGGCAGCTGTGAACAGGATTTGGTCCGAAGCAGCAAGATTTGGTTCCTTTTGAACAGGGGAAGTGTCTGTGGTGGAGCAATAGACGGCAGAACTCTGCTTGTTTTGCCACTGTTTCCCTGAGCACCAGCATCTCAGAGCACACTGCCCTGGGCTGAAAATGACGACTTGATGAAAAATATGAAGCTGTGATTCAGTTAATGTAAATCACTGTTTTTTTCAAAGCACGGAGTGATATTTCTATTGCTAATAAATCCTGACAGCATTCCAAGTCTCCATGAGCCACGCTGTACTTCAAAGATAGATCCACATAGACACTGCGGTTATTTAAATTCAGGGTGAGTTTGCAGGAGGTCCAGCTATTTAATGTTACTGGGTAGAGCCAGGCTGCAGTGTGGTATGTGATAAACTAATTATTTCCTGTTTTTAAGGGAAAAGAAGGGGGAAAATATCATCCTAATGGAATCCCCAGGGATTTTTTTTTCTTCTGGTTTTCAAGCTAAGCTTCTTGTTACTCCAGACCCTGAACTTGTAGAAATTAAACCTTTTCTCCTCTTCTTTTTCCCCCCTCAGGAAGAGATCTGTCCTAAAGTGGAAGGTGAAGGCACTCAGTCCTGCCTCTGGGCTTCAGCGGTCAATGTCAGAGACAAGTACATTTATGCGACGCAGCCTAAGCTCAGTAGAGTAGTGATAATTGATATCCAGACTCAGAAAGCCATACAGGTACTTATAAGGGGAAGTCTTCATTCACTGGTGGCAAAAGACTTGGTATGGGACAAGAAAAGTTGATCTTTGCTCAGTGGAGCTGCTGACACCGCTTGGGCCTGTGTTGCTTTCACCCATGGGGTCACACTGTGTCATTTCTATTCTGTAAACTTGCTAGCAGGAAAGAAACTCCTTTATGGGTTGGATATCATAGTCCCAGGGGTCCATCTGCAGCCAGGCTTGCAGCTAGTGTGGTAATATAGCACTAGGATGAATTTCTGGCTCACGCTCATTGAGCCGCTGCCTGACCTCAGTCATAAGCAGGGTGGGAAGAATGAACTGGTGTGGGTATAACTCAAGCAGAAATTGGTCCCTGGTCTACTGGCTATAAGTAAGAGCATAAGATGGAATGATGCCTAGCTAGGAAACAGCACCGAGCAGCTAGATTTTTCTACTGCTGGTTCTGCTGCTGATTTCTCAATTGATCTGAAGGTGAAGCTGCACAATGGGTGTAACAGTGATGCATGGGAATGTCTGCAGTAAACCCGTATAACATTTGTGTTGTGCATTTGGGTCACTGTAAATACCTGTCTCTGTTTTTTTAAGTCCTTGGATGTTGACCCATTACCAACCAAATTACATTATGACAAGTCCCACGACCAAGTGTGGGTGCTTAGCTGGGGTGACATGCGGAAATCCTCACCAACGCTGCAGGTAAGTCCTTATGCACCTGAGCCTTTGCCCTTCCTTGGCTTGGCATCATTGGTAGCAAGCTGGTGCCTGGTTGGTTGCAGGTAATTAACAGCTTTTAATGGCCTGGCTATAAAGCTGCTCTTTCATTTGCATACCTAGTGTGTTTTATTCCTCCCTCCTCCGTCCATCCTCCCATATTTTTCCTGCTGTTTAATTTGTTTTTCAGCAATGCCTGTGCCGTAGGCTGGCAGCAGGACTGCTTTGTTGCCAAGGTCTGTTCTGTTTTAAGGCTGATGACAGAGCCAAGTGCTGTAAGTTGTACAGCAAGGGCTGGCAGCTGACTGCGAGCAGTTTAAGCTTGCCATGCTCCAGGGCCCAAGGAGGATGCCATTGGGGTCCCCGGAGCTCCTCCATGCTCAGCACCGTCAGACACACAGTGATATTGGGGCACAGTAATGCACATAGGTTTGGACAACTGAATGAACTTCTATATCTGGATTGCCCTGGGGGATCCATTCTTCTGTTGATGGTACAGAAACACGAAGTGTTGGCATCTAACTGGGCATTTTGCTGCTGCTATATGTCATATGACAGAGTTGACTCCAGAGCTGATGTGATCCAGCTAGGCACACCCTGCTCTAGCAGTTATTTTCTGGCACTTGATTCCTGGCAACATAGGTGTCATGTGGATACTCCTTCTACCAGAAGCATTCGCTTGTAAGTCTGCATTCAAACATTCCCCATCAGCAGAGAAGGTTGGCTGTGCTTTCTGACCTAAAAACCTATAAATCTGGAGTCTGTGTTCTTCGTGGGGATGCTGCCCCATGAAGGTGGGACAAACCATCCCCACCAGCCACATGCTTCGTCTGTGATAATGGCTGCAGCCTTCTGGCTTTTCCTAGCAAAGAATAGACTAGCAGCAAAACGTGGGCATTTTCAGGGAAAGACACCAAAACCAGAACAGGGACAGATAAATGAAGGTTTCTGAGGCAGTGCTCCAGCTTGGCTCACCTGGGGATGAGCAGTTTCCTGTACAGGGTATAAGGAGATCAAATTGGCTCTCTTTACCCTCTCTGACTTAATTTCCTCCATCCAGCTGTGAGGGGTTTCTGTAATTAAAGGAGACATGGTGCAAGCATGTGATTATTAAGAAGAACAGGCCACCTGCACAGTTGGAAACTTGTTAAAGGCTCCAGCTCTAAGGTAGTCCTTTCTGTTATGTTTATGAAGTGCAGTTGCTTATGTAGGCAGTGAGATTAACAGCAGCAGCAGCAGATCTCTCCTTTTTTCCAACCTTCTTTCCCAAAAGGTGGGCAGTGACTCATCTGGCGAAGTTCATTCTTAATCTGCAGTGGTTTCGATGCAGACATGCAATAAAACATCTTCTTTTAACAAAGATGCTTCTGCTGCGGTTGATCTAAATTCCCACTCGTTCTTTGGAAGTCAGGGATTTATCAAACAGCCCATGCAGCCGACTAATGGGATGCTGTTGTTTAGCCGTTACTGGCTTGTGGGAAGCAAATGTCTGGCCTTGTGAAAGCCCTGTGCAAGAGAGGGCATCTTTCTTGAGCAGTCTAATTGGAAGAAATCTAAATGGCATGACCAGAACAGCTGTCTGAACTACACTTTGTAGGGATTTAACACTTCCTTAATGAATTATGGAGCTATAAATTGAAAGCAACCCCTGTTGCACATTAGAGAAGCAGAAGTTCCTAATGAAAGGACTAATGTCATCTTGAACCGGGCAAGCAATTTGAGTATTTGACATTTTAGCTACCGAGAACTTCCACCTCTCTTTTTCCGGGGTGGTGGAGGTGGGTGCTGGACAGCATGGAGAGGGGCAGCCAAAGGGCTTTTCACTACCTCGTCCTGAGTTATACATGGCACAATATAGGGATGAACAGTTCTCCTTCAAAGTGATAATTATCTGCTGTGAGTTGGTCTTTGATCCTTCAAGCTGGTAAATGGTATCTGCACATATAAGTGAGATTAATAAATTTGACCATGAAATAAGTGTTTATTTTAGACAGTGAGGAATAAATTACGGTCTTAGTGTTGCCATACTACTTCAGCTCCTGCACGACTGCTCTTTCTCGAGGTACAAACACCTTATGAAAGTCACGTTGTGTGCTTACCTTACAAATGTCAAGCCTCAAATACTATTTAGTAGCGCACCTTCTTCAAGACAGCCACACCAAGGAGTCTTTTGAAGTCATTAATCAATTTGAGTCTACTACATCCCTGGGAAAAGCCGCTCGGTGCCATGTGTGACTATGGAATCTGTATTTACCTTTCTACCTTACTCACTGCTTTTCCTGTCCTCAACCTTGTGTGTGTTTGTTGTAGGTAATACCAGAGGCAAGCGCAGGGGAGGAGCAGCATGTTATCCGCACACCGTTTGAAGGAGTGGATGATTTTTTTATACCACCTACAAATCTTATTATTAATCACGTTAGGTAAGAATATCTGAATGAACGGCAACAGTGACCATGGTGCTCTCTTCTAGTGGGCATCCTTCTAGGAACCTTACAGCACTTTACAAACGTGAATGAATGAATTCATGATCAAGCTAACTACACTTATTGATTGAGCAAATTACTAATAGTTATTCAGTGAATCAATGAAACAGCGAGAAACAAACCTGCGCTTCCTTAGCACGTGCACAGGCATTCACACCTCAGCTTGGTCAGCCATGCAAAGTACCACACGCTGCCCTGCTTGGTTGTGCTGGGAATCTGATGGCCAAAAGAAGTTGTCTTTCCTGCCTCAAAACTGCTTTATGGATCTGGGCATGATAAACCTGTGTCAAAGATTTGTTGCCTCAAATGGTTTATTCTGCCTGAAGCATAAAGCATGGTTCTTCCATGTATTTCCAACTTGTTCAAATACTGAATCTCTGTGTGAGGTGTATGGTTTGAGGAGAAAAATAATATGCACTGCATATTAAAAAGCCCACCTCTATGAACCATCAGTTTTGAATGTTGATGTGGTGTAGTGGTTAATGAGATCGTGTAACTAACATACTAATAACTTGGGCTAATCCCGGCTGCTTCCCAGCAGGCACAAGAAGCCTCCCATTAACATTATCAAAACTGATGATAACTGCAAAGCAATTTATACTGTACTTACCATTACTTAACATAACAACTCTAACCATCTTCTGTCCCCAGTGTAGTTTAACTAAGCTAAACACACAAAAACTGATAATGTAACTCCTTGCATTCATCTTAGGTTCCCTGCAGTGAACACTGAGGACAGAGGGGTCACACTTGAATGATTGTGTGTTGAATCTGATCCAAAATAAATAACTTTGCTTCCTGAAACACAAACTAATGAGACATACTTCATGGCTGTCACTCTCAATTTCTCCCTACCTCATTTTTCCACTTTGTTTTCAAAATATCCTTATGACTAATAGTAGTGCCAGAAGGTAGATGACTCTCCAGAATGCTAAAGCCTGAGATGAGAAAGTATGGTCTGGGTTCAAAGACAGGAAGGTGGAATAATTACACTATTTACTCTGTTTCATTGTCTTTTTGCTTCGGTGTGATTCATCGTCTGTATACAGATGATCTTCTATGAGAAATACTACGTGTAGTTGTTTGTAGTTTTCCATGTACAAAGCAGAGAATGCTCAGCCTAGTTTCCTATTGCGTTTGTTCAAGGCCAGATCTTTGTCCATTCTCTTACCCTCAGCACTGAGAAACAATTGCTCCCAGTCTAATGAGACTTAACTGAGATTATGTTCTAAATTCTCCACTCGGAAACAATCAGTGGCAATCCCAGCATTTCCCAGGAAGGTGACTATTAAAACAATCTCTTCTGCAAGCCAGGAAATGTTTGTATGCAAATATTGCTGCATATGTATCGCAGCTGCCTGTTGTTCCAGATGGATATCTAGGAATGTATCTGGTTTTATTAGTTCCCAGGGTAGGTTGTTGTCTATTAAAACCTGTCCAAGTGCAAGGTTTTCAGGTCACAGCTGGCGGGCAAGCGCTGCACCTCTTCTGCAGCCGTGTGCTCGTAAAACACATTCTGACCCACTTCTTTCAAGTTTATGGTAAGAACCATTTTTTAACTTCAGGCGTTTGGCCAAGTATTAAGGAAGTCTTGAGGGGGGGGAAAAATGCTGTTAAGGGAAAGCATTTTTTAAAGTGTACTTAAGATGCATTCATCCAGGAGAAATACAAGTGTCATATCCAATTTCCCCACACACAGTGCACTGCGAGTCTCCACTGCAGATATTTCCTGAAGTCTCTCTAATGGATGTGAATATAATGGGAAAATGAAAGGCTCAGCCCAGTGGTTTTCATGGGATCATACACTGGAGTGGCTCGTTCTTTAGAAGTGAAATCATTGCAGTGTCTCCTTGACAGATGGATTAAGAATAACGAAATAAACGCAGTGTTTTAAGCAAAATATGTATTATCTGCACACAAGGACATTGCTGTGCATATTTCACAAAGCAAAACTGCATCTTTAGGGGAAGGGATACAAAACTGAGCACTCCCTTCATTTCCTTCTGTCTGCATTGAACGGATGAAAAGATCCTGGATGTAAAATTAGTTTGGGTAAGTCAGTATCAGCGACCTGTGAATCCAAGTGAACACAAACAGGCTGTTTCTGTGGGCTCCCTCTCAAATTAAGCAGAAACCTTTCTTGGCTATTCTTGACCTTTTCTTATCTTCAGCAAAGGTCAGCTGTGCTGCAGCATGTATCTTTTACAGAACATTTATTCCGTGTCCACTGTTGTCTGCCCTCTCTTGAGACAGCAAACAATGAGCCTTTTTCTTCAGTGCACCCTGGTTATGTTCCTTGAGAAGTGTTTTACATTCTTCTTGTGCTGGCAGGATGGCGTTTCACATAGTCTGCCCTACACCTCAGCCTTGTCACTGGGTCCCAGGCACCATGGGGAGCAAACACATCACAGCTACTCGCTGGTCCTGTAATTTAAGAGACGAGGTTGGACATGGTCTTCTCTCAGCGGTTATACTTAGAGCTCAGAGTTGTTCTCTGGCCCCAACTTGGCTGTGATATGCTTTATTTAGAACAGGTTCCTGCTTTGGGATTGAAGTCTTGAGTCTATATTGAATTACATCTTTCTAGATCTGAAACAGATTACACACAAAGCTGGTCAACAGTAGCCTACAGAGCACACAGGCCTTGATTATTATTCCTGTTTATGGATTGATCTTCCCAATAAGATCTCAGCTCTTGAAGATGTTATGCAAATACCCAAGCAGATATTCAGGCTTCCAGGATCAGGTTGCTAATTTTAACTGCAATGTATATACCTCCTTTTAGCATGTTTTAGAGGCACTAAACCAAGAGATTTATTACAGAAAAGAGTCGCTATTATTGCACACGCTTCCAAAACCAGCAGCATAGAGTTTCCCGGTTCTGCTGACTTTTGTCTTTTCTCAAGCACCTCACCGTGTCTCCAGAGATGACTTCAGTGTCATGTTTTCTGTTTCAGGTTTGGTTTCATCTTTAACAAATCGAAGTCAGCAGTTCACAAAATTGACCTGGAAACTGTGACCCACATCAAGACTATCAGCTTCAGAAACCATAGCTGCATACCACAGGCCATGGCTTATACCCACCTGGGTGGTTACTTCTTTGTCCAGTGTAGGAAGAATAGGTCGATGGCTGCGTCACCACAGCTCATCATTGACAGTGTCACTGATGCTGTCATCGGCCCCAACAGCGACGTCTCGGGCACGCCATACATCTCACCGGATGGACGCTATTTGGTCAGTGCGGATGAAGACAGTGGCAGGATCAGAGTCCAGGCTCTAACTGTCCGCGGGGAAATCACATTGATTTATGACTTACAAACAGACATACACATATCTGATCTGACATTTCAACCCTCGTTTACTGAAGGCAACCAGTACTATATATATGCTACTTCACATTTGCAAACAGATGTGCTTTTTGTAGAGCTGTCAACGGGGAAAATGAATGTACTGAAGAATTTGAAGGACCCTATCACATCCAAAGACTGGCCCTGGAGCAGCTACAACAGAATTATGAAAGACAGTGGATTATTTGGACAGTATCTCATTACACCAGCTAAAGAGTCATTGTTTGTTATAAATGGGAGGCAAAATACGTTACGCTGTGAGGTTTCAGGTATAAGGAGGGGTAACACAGTGGTCTGGGTTGGGGAGGTATGAAGGGCAATAGCAGTAGAGCCTTCAGCAGGCAAGTACCGGTTGGACCTTTACACTGCAACAACTGAGCAGTAGCATTGTATATTTTTACACTGGGGGGAAAAAAATAAGAAAAAAACAAAAAAACCCTGTATAGGCTTCATGGTACAACACTGGTCTACTTGCAAGTTTTATAATATAAGGTATGCTCTGCTAATAGGAAGTGGTTTTGAAGGGATGTCTTTTATTTGGGGGTATGATTTGTGGTTATGAGAAAAACGCTGAGAAGCGAATAATATCTCCACTGAGATACCGTATAAGCCACGAAACCTAATGATTCTGTAGAACAAATCCCATTTTGAGTTTCCATACTGAGGAGCTTTTATGTTATGCTCAAGCCATCTGTTTTCTTTCCCGTATACCTTCCCATTCCCTACCCCAACACAGAGAGACTACAGAAGCAAGGACTGCGGTTAAAATTCACCTTTGGATGATGAGGGAAACTAAGCATCAGAGTGCAGTTTTCAACCCACAGAAACCTAGGAGAGTGATTTAATGAGAACTGATCAGTTTTCTCTGCAGGACAGCTTTGGGAGGATTCACAGATGTGATTTCAGAAGGAGGCATAACAGAAATAGCAACTGTCAGCTCGCTTTCTTCTGCGCTTGATTTTGCTCTCAGTACTGCTGAAGGCGATGTTACGAGTCCGTCCCCCCCCTCTTCTAATGCATATCTGTGTGATTGTATATGAGAAATTTGGCATGAAGTATCCAGGCCATTAGAGTGAGCCCAGAAACACTGAGGGAGTGTCAGTTTGTAAAAGGTACTGTGGCGAAGGAGCCATTAGTCTTTCAGCAGCTTGTGAGTGTGGTCAGCTTGGCACAATATGCAGAATCTGCTCTTTGGGGGCAGGGGATTGGTTATGGTTATTCCCACAGGAGGCAGCAACACTCCTAGGAATTGTTGGTTTCTCTCATTAAATGTTTAGTAGCACTGAAGTCGCTCGGTTCTTCATAAAACAGTAGCTTACAACGACAGTGTATTTTTAATAGGAAACTCACTCATTTTCTCGTCATAGCCTTAATTTGCCTCCTTCTTTTCTGACATCCTGGGAAACAATTTTAATGTGTGATTTTTTTTTTCTCCTTCCCGTTTATACTGCACTTGTTTATAGTCAATTATCTGTTAGTTATGAGCAAAGAGCTTCATGTAAAGCCAGCTGAATTACCCTTGAGAGCAACAGCTGGCACTGAGAAATTTCAGTTGGGTTCCCATAAAAACATGGATCCTTTTGCAGATTTGGAAGATGGGAAAAGTTTTCTAGTGCATTTTGGTAACTTTCTCTATCCATCACCGTGAAGTAATCAGGGCAGGAGCAGCCTTGGCTTGCAAGGCGGTGCAAACGATGAGCACCACTACCACCATGAGCGGATGCATCAGAGCAGTTGTAACCCGTGTACCGCTTTGAAGATGTGGTCTTGAGGTGGGTGAAACCTCTCTCTGAAGGTAAATGTCTGTTCCATGGGAGCCACCCATCAGCCTTTGGAAAGACCCGGCTTGTTTTGTGAATGATCCCGTTGACCAGAGTTCCTGTGAAAGCAGCTACTGAACGCATCCCGTGATACGTAGTGGCACATCAATTACTTTCCTCCACAGATGCTTAAAGTCACCCATTTCACAGTGCACACAGAGGGATTGTAAATGAGAAGGGTGCAGACTAACACTGGCAATCTCTGTTTTAAATGTTAAACTTTATGGAAGAGTAGCATTTTAGCACGGCTGGAGACCTGAAGTAACTGAAACAGTTTCAGTTCTATAGAGATTATGTAAAAATCTGTTCAGACAGACGAAAAAGGGGAGCTGAATCCTATGAATTCATGAAACATGGAGTCCTTGAGATTGCCCTTCAACACCCATAGGCTGAAACCTCCATCTCTTTTCACTTATGAGCCATAGGGGTTAGAAGAGACTAGTTCATCATTGCAACACAGGCATATAAAACAGATGGGCATAGCCTTTAGCAATGCATGGTGTCCATGATTTTCTACTCATCCAGGTTAGGAAACATACCCATGTCAAGGAAAGGAGAAGACCAGCTTTGTAAGTACCTTGAAATATGCACAACTCCTTTCTTGAACAGAGCTGTATCCATACATTGCTGTCATCCTAAATGTGTTTTACCAAGGCCAGACACTGCTCTCGTGTTATCTTTTATGACTTCTTGACTATTTTATTATGCCTATGGTAAGTTTCCCTGTAGAGACGTTCATTGTGTCATAGATCAAGCAAATATTACTTTTTTAAGAATATTTAAAAGAAAACCCTGTATATATCTGTTCAGGTAAATATTCTTGGGGCTGGTTTATATATAGGCTGTGAAAGATGTGTAACAGACCTCACTTCTTCCTGTTTGTCGCAAAGTATTGGAATAGCGTTCACTTGACAAATCCCACATGGCCCTTCCAAAGATGTTCCCTTTCTTCCCTCTTCAGCCCAAGTTTCTGGTGATGTGTCTTCTAAATTATCCTAATGGTTATATATCATACTTAGAAAATGACGTACAACTTAGCTTGTCCACACGCCTTGTGAACAGTTCCAATGATGATCAAACCTGACATTAAAGTGCTGCACATTTGTTACTCTGATTTTATTTTTATTATGACACAGGAATTTTATATGTACTCAAAGACTGTTTCAACTCCTTTTTGCCTTTCAACTCTCATCAAAAAGAGACTACGTTTCCTTGTTTGCGGTTTCTTTCGCACTCCCTTCGTGTTCTCCGCTGATTCACAATTCCTATCTAATAATCACAGTGATTAACTGAAATTAATTTAGGTTGTATTAATGACCATTTAATTATCCTACAACATTCCTGTATCAATTGGGTATTCTGGCACTAGAATAAGGGAAACAATCTCTGGTTGACCCTACTCCCAAGATCAGCTGCATTTTCCATTCGCCATTGAGGTTAAATAGTAGTATAATGGAAATACTGGTTTGTCTTAGTATTTCCCGCAATATTTTCTCTTTCTGAATGAAAGTTTTACTTGACATCTTTACTTACGCAGTTCAGTAACTATTTAGAAACCATCCACTTTTAAATTGGAGAGAAAAAAACTCACAAGTGCCTTAATTTGGAATCTGTGACAATTAACATGTTCTTATTATTTAATACTTTGGTTTATTTTTTACCACTACCAAAAAACATAATCAACAGAAATCCCCAAATATTTCTGTGGGTGGAAGGGGGGGTGCCCATGGGATGGGTGGGAAATGGGGAACAGGCAGGGTTGCTCCATCACCCCTGTGAAAGGGGATTGGAGGGAGGGGTTTCAATAGGTCTTCAACCTGTTGAAAAACACTTTTCCCTCCTTGAAGGACTTGGGCTGTTCGGCTGTGTTGACCTCCATAAACAGGGCTTTGCCCGAGGCACATGAGTCCTGATGACCTGTCGACAAGTACTTACTGCCTTGATTTATACCATGATTAGGTCTTAATTACTAGAGTGCCCAGTAGTGTGCAAGGTAGTGCATAAAGCAGAGGAAAAGGCCAAGATCTCAGTTCTGCAAGGAGGTAACAGCTAATTCCCTGTCTGACCCGACAGCAGGTCAGCAAAATGACCAGAAAAGCAGGACTTGAGGCTGGGGGAGATAGAAGCTTTGACATGAGCACAGTTACCTGATTATTCATCAAAGATCTGGGCATGCCATGATGCCTGTATAATTCTTTCCTGAAGACCCCCTTTGTGCCTTCCCATTAGGGCTTTAAATGAACATCCAAAGGCTCACACACATGCACAGCTGTTGCTGTTCATGGAACCCCTGGGACTTGGACACTGCACCCCAGGAATTTCTCTGTTGCATATCGTGTGACTCACCAACTCATGCTCAGATAATTTCTCTCTTAAGAAACCTGGGGGTAAATCCTGCTTGGTCTAAGGAAGCACATCCCACAAGGCAAGCAACCAGCACCTGCTTTCTGTACCAGATTACAACCAAAATCCTACAACACAGGTTATACCAAACAAAGCAGAAGTCAGTGGTCTATTTACCTCTCCTAGTGCTTCTGCTCGCTCCTAAGAGCTCCTCATCCCCAGCCTGGCAAGCCTCCCCTCCCTGCTCATGTGCATCTTCGCTGCCATCACTGTGCTTTAATGACAGGTACCACCTACTGCTGTCCCCAGATGCTTTTAATTCCTGCCTGGATTTCACCCCTCCTTCCCTTAGTGCATCTTTACCCCGATGATGTGGCATGAGGAACCTCAGCCTCCCAGTCTCCTTTACCCAATTCCTCTGGAGCAAGAGAGGTTTTACATGTTTTTTCCCTTGTTAATTTTTGGAGCAGATTGAAATAAAACACAGGGAAATTTCTCCATCTGGAGACCAGGAAATCCTGTGTGATTCTTTTATCTAAGATCTGGTGTATATAAGAGGTATTTGGTGCTGAGGATGGGACAAACTCCTGACCAAGCACAGCAAGGTCAGGAATGTGGTGCTCCTACCTGCTGGAGGAAGAGCAAGACACCTGAAACGTCACCCTTCCTCTAACCTCTGATGAGAGGATTGGTTCTTTTTAACAGTGATCTCTAAGAATAAAGATTGAAATAGCAAAGCTCAGAGGATTAAGGAGTTCGGAATCTCACCTCTGCTCACAGCTGAGACAAATCAGGGTGACCCCAAGATGCAAAGGCACTGACTCCACTTCTACCCAAGCAGCAGGACAGAGCTGCATCGGGCTGGGGCTGTGTGACGAACTGTTAAAGGCCCTCAGTGCCTTGATGCATGATGCTGGGGTGACTTATAGTCCTCACAGACATGAGTGGCTAGTGAAGCAGCGCTGTTTTCCTTTGGCTGTTTTTTTCCTTGTAATTTTATTGCTCCTTCATTGTAAGAAAAAGGAAAATGCCTGAAAAAAATCAGGAAAACACATCCCAGTGGATGTGTACTCCCACACAAAGGTGACCAAGCCTCTTAGAATCATAGAATAGTTTGGGTTGGAAAGGACCTTAAGATCATCCAGTTCCACCCCCCCTGCCACGGGCAGGGACACCTCACACTAAACCATGGCACCCAAGGCTTTGTCCAACCTGGCCTTGAACACTGCCAGGGATGGAGCATTCACAACCTCCCTGGGCAACCCATTCCAGTGCCTC